CCCACCCACGGGGCCGGCTCCGCGCCCGCCGCAGCCCCGACACCTGCGCTCCCGGCGGCGGGTGCACTTTAGCCCGGACCTCGGCCAGACCCGTTAAACGCTGGTGAGCGCACTGAGGGTCACCTGCTGCCGCTAAAGACGTGTCAAGCCCCCGTGTCTGCCGGGCGCGGAGCTGGGCGCTGCGCGCGGCTGCCGGCGCACAGCATCCTGTGACGTTCCGCTAGCCCCCCTTCACGCTCCAGTTAAAAGATGAGGCTCACAAAGGTGGGCAGTTTCTCAGGTCACACAGCTGACCTGTAGCAGCGGGGGCTCAGAACTAGGTCCGTCCACCTCCCGGGCCACGGGCGGGCCCTCCGCACCCCGCAGCCTCACGGGGCTGGTACAGGACTTGCACCGAAGCCATTTTCCAGTGGGAGATAATGGAGAAATCTTAGAATTTCCTTTGCCACCTACTGATTTTCCTGGTCATTGGAAAGTGAGCTTACATTTCCATATTTATTAAAATATAATTAGGGTTTAAAATCCTGATTTTCTAAGAGTTAGAGACAGCTTAAAAAATTAAACAATACAAACAGGCAATTAGAAGTAAAACAAAATATCTAGTAAGCAAATAAACAAGCCCAAAGTAGTTATTTAAAGAAAACAACAGACAGTAAGTGGATGGACTAACCAAGAAAAAGCATAAACACACAGAATCATAAATGTAAAAGGAGAAGCAACCACAGGTAGGAAGGAAACTGGAGTAATTATGAAAGAAGACCATTTTACAGAACTCTATGCAAATATATGTAAACACACGGACCAAACAGGCGGTTTTCCAGGCCTCTAAATCACCGCCATCGGTCCCAGGAACAGGGAGAAGGCTCCCACGCACGGAACGCAGGCACCATTAGTCACAACCGTCCGACGAATCCCCGGGGTGTGCCTTAGACCCTTCTGAGGTGAATTATTCAAACCTTCAAGGAACAGATAATTCCAGAGTATCCCAAATACCCCAGAGGACAGAGAAGGAAAGAAATCTGACCTCTTTTTATGAAGACAGAACAGATACCAAGTGCTTTTGCAAACAGCTCACACACACACAAACCCAGGCCAATTTCACTCAGAACCACAGCTGCAAAGATCTGGGGACACAGGCCCCCGGAGCAGGACCTACTGCAGGTGCACGGCCCTGAGTGTTTCTGGGGCAGAGACTGGAACCGCTCCTGCACCCGCTCCCCCTCCCCCTCAGGGAGGGAGCGGAGGGGTCGGCCAGACCTGGCCAGACCTGGCCGGGGAGCAGGCGAGCTCTGTGTCCCTCCTGCGGTGACCTGCAGGGCATGGCTGCCTGGCCCGGGGCCCCTGTGTGGACACATCATGCTCCTGGCCACCGAGGAAAGACTCAGCTCCATCAACTGTTCCTCTTTCCCGGGTTCTTCACCATGTCAGCCGCTCGGAAGCCACTGTGACGGTGGATGACCGTCTGAAACGAGCTCTGGACGGCACGGTCCCTATTCTACAGTTTGAGCTGCTGGTGAGGAGTGTGGGGAGGGCAGTCTCTCTGTGATGGGGAGCAGGTGGTGTTGACGCCCCCAGGGCCGCATGGCGAGGTGACAGCTCACTCAGCGCCTGCTCGATGGACGTCCGCCCCTTCTCCAGACATCACTGGCCCCCTGTCATGCTCCCCGTCCCCAGCTCCCGGAGTTATGGTAGAAGCCCGAGACACGGGGGTGAGGGCAGAGCCTGCACATGCAGGGTTGCGTCCTGGGACAGACAGAAGCGAGGACGGGCGCCCATCACTCCCTGTCACCAAGTACCACAGCGACCTGCACCCCGGCACCGGAGCCGTTCTTGGCAAAGTGGGGACCTTCCAGCTTTCTGCGCTGCTGGGACCGCTGGACGCCCTTTGTCCAGTTCACGCTGAGTCAAGTGCTCTTTCCAGCAAAATATCATCAAGTTACTATATTATCAATCAAGTTAAAATAAGATTCCTCATGGTTTTATCAACTTTTCTAACTGGAACCGGACAGTCTCCCAAGTAACCCACATCAGTGCTTCCCAGATGGGAATCTACGTAAATTCATGTTCCACAACCGGCTTCCTGGTCATGTCAAAGCCAGGAGGGCGTAAAGCTTGGTACGGCCACAGAAACCTGACTTGGTGTCTTGTTTCCTGCGTTCTCTCTTAAGTCCAGAGTAAGCTCTGAGGCACGAGCAGGCCCCCCCCCCCGCCCCGCGGTCCGCACCTGAAGGAAGATCCGGCCAATGCAGCTCAGCAGCTGGGGCTCCTGCTCCGGGTGGTGCTGGATGACCGAGCGGTAGGCGTCCACCGCCAGCACGTAGTCCTGCAGGGGAGAGGGGCCCCGAGAGCATTTTGGAGTCAGGGAGACCACGCTCAGTTCTGCACACAGACTAGGGCCTGCAGCCCTGCTTGGGAAGCGGGGCTCCCACGCGAGCAGGCGGGAAGCTGGGCCCCGTCTGAGGCGCAGGCGGGAGGCATGCACACCTGGAGGTTGAGTCCGGAGGCTGCCCTCCCGCCCCAGGGCTCCCAGCTCTGCACTGAGGCCTGAGGGGCTCTCTTCCTCCACCTTCTAAGCAGCGATCAGCATCGCACCCAGACTAACTCCTTTCCTGACAAAAGGATCAAGTGAACTGGTGAATCCTGTCTTGTCCCTGTCTGCCAAATACTCAGGCCCAATTTATTAACTGCGCAGCTGGCGCGGGCCCGCAGGGAGTGGAGGCCCAGCCAGGGGGCAGGTGGCGGCCTCACGGCCTGGTCTGAGTCAGGCCGAGCCCTAGACTTCAGGGGCGGCAGGGACACCGCGGAGCACCTGAGAATCACCCGCGGTGTTTAACACCAACCCTTACTTTTGGGTTAGAGTGAACGAAGGGCAACCTTGCCCGGCTGTCAGTTAGCACCCAAGTGTCACAGGCCCCCTGCAGTGCACGCGCCCCGAATCCTGGCCTGCGTCTCACGTGCTCCAGTGACGTTTGGGGCTGAGCCGGTCCCCAGAGAGCTGGAGCGGGATGCGGAGGGCACGCAAGGCCACCGCACTGCCCCTCTAGGGCATCCCTCTAGGATGCTCTCCGGCCGGTGTCACTGCCTCACAGCCTCACGTTTCAGTGCTCTGGGCCGGGAGCCAAGGTTTCTGAAGACAATTTGATGTGGAAAGGACAGGTTTTAAAAAAACCAAGCAAGGATCCCTGATGGAAAGTTATTTAGCTGCTGTTCTGTTAAAACAGGGCTCTCCTGGGAGAGTGCTCTGGGCAGGCCCGTGGGCGTGGGGGACTCGTGGGAAAGCTCCCGGCAGGCAGTAGGGGCCTGGGGGCTGCAGGTGCAGCCCACCAGGCCTGGACAGGAGCTGCCCGGGCGCTGCAGCCACAGGGAGGGCTTCTGCCAGCTGATGTCACTCAGCGAAACTGCCGATTTACTGGCGGTGAGGAAATACGGCCCCTTTAAGGGAAAATGGCTAAAACGAGCTCTTGGGAGAGTGTCACCCACGCTGTGGCCACAGGTGTGGCTCTGAGGACGGGAGTGAATGGCTGCTCTTGGGGACAGACCTATTTAGCCCAACCTTCGGCCTTTTTCTTTCAGCAGTGGCACCTGTTTGGTGGCGGTGACTCTAGGCCTGTGACCAGGAGGATTTACAGGGCCGCCAGGTCCTCTGAGGATGTGAGCATGGGCAGGGAGGGGCAGGCGCCCAAGGCGGGAGGCCCAGGCACCTGGGTGGCTGCCCACGCGGCGCCCTGAGGCAGCCGAGTCTCAGGAGAGGAAGCAACGTGTCGCAGGCGAGGCTGGGGACCCCAGGCTCTCAGGACGTGCACCTCTGCCTGAGGGCATCTGGTGCAGATGCTCGGCTGAAGCGTGTGGATAGATTGCTCATCGATAAAAAGTTACATTAATATTTATCTCACTGTAATAGAAATGTTATTCAAAATAATTAGCCGGATGATTAAATAACTCATTGTTAGCCCAGACACATAATTTAATTAACGGGAGACCCGCGAACGGAGACCGCAGGCGGCTGTGATGCGGTCCCGCCCACCAGATGGCAGCAGGGGCAGCGGCTCGCTGAGGCCTCCCTGCGACCCTTTCACTCCTTGTTTAGCTCAAGAGAATGAAAGACTAATCTAAAACTTCAAGGTAAACTGCATCTGTGGAAGCGCGTCTCTGAAGCACAGCAGCACTGAGCGCCGCGTCCCGACCACGCGGGAGGGGGCGGGGCTGCGGCCTGGTGGAGGCGGAGCTCCTGCCGCGTAACAGCGGAGGCGCTCTCACCCCGTCCCTGTCTGTGAATGTGTCCTAAAAACGCACGTCGAAGCCCGTCGGCGGAACCGGAAACTTCCCTCCCGAGTTCTCCCCGTGATTAACGAGATAGCAGCCTGCGAATTCGGACTTTGCCCCTGGTTCCTCTGTATGCCAGTGACTTCGAGGGGAGAGGACCAGGGCTCCTGGCCCCCACGCTGCTGGCGGGGGGTGGCTGCAAAGGCAGCTGAACTGCGCCTCGGTTCAGGGGAGGCGCCCGGAGCTCAGAGATGGGGAGGGGGTGCGAGGCCAGTCTGCACCCGTGTCACAGCTGCACGGGGCACATGGAAGGGGCCTCGGGACGTACAGCTGCCCTGGACACGGTCCTCGCAGGGCTGCCCCGCCAGCCCCCAGAGCACGTTTCTCCCCTCGCAAACCGTCTGCTCTGCTGAAACCCAGCTCAAGGGTGACCTTGGCCGGCCCGTGGGAGGCGTCACGACCTGCTCTCCGAACAGCAGGAAGGTGTTAACGGCGCTACTCTGGGTGTCTGCTCAGTGAGGCCTCAGCTGGAGGCCTGCTGGCTCAAGATCCCGCCGTGTGAGTTGGGAGGAGACCCTGCCTGGGGAGGAGTGTAGGCGACAGAGCAGAGGACCGAAGGCCCCCGACACAGCCTCGCTCAGCCTCCTGGTTCCTAGCCGTCTGGCAGTGCCAAGTGAGCCCCAAGGAGCAGGTCTCGTGGAGAAGCCTGTCTCTGGATGCCAGGACCATCGAGCGTCAGGTCAGGACAGGGAAGCCACCTCCTCTAACCCAGGAGAACAGAGACTTCTTTCCTGGGGTGGAATTCTGCTCAGCAACCCCTCGGGTGCGTTTCCTCGGGTTGTGTTCCCACCATGGGGTCCCGGCAGTCCCCCCCCACCAGTGTCCTACCTTCATGAGCAGCAGACAGTTGGCCATGGAGCACATCACGCGGCCCAGGCGGGACCGCCAGAGCTGGATGGAGGCTGCAAGAGAGGACGCGGTGAGCGAACGCGGGAGCGCCCTGCCTCAGCCCCGACTCAGCCCCTCTGTCCCCGCACCCGGCCTCGGCCAGGGGCTCACTGCTGCTCAGCCCACATCCCTGAGCCGTGCTCCTGGCTCTGGGCAGAGCAAGGGAAACAGGAGGGCGACCGAGCACAGGGTCCAGCCAGGGCCATGTCCCCAGGGTAGCACCCCGAGACGAGGAGCAAATCCTGGGAAGATGAGGGCACCTGCAGCAGGTGGAAGGTGGTGTGAAAGTGGATCAGCAGGAGGTCCACCCAAAATCCCCCGCCCCGGCCGCAGGGCTGGTGGACGGTCACCCGCCGGATGTCAGCAGCCATGCCTCGGTAGCAGACACTGTTGAGTGGAAACAATTCCTAACCTATCTGCTTCCCCAGGCTTCGAGGGCGGAGAGTGGGGGGACGTGGGGAGCAGGGCGGGGCAAGGGCCAGCGCGCGGTCGGGCGGTCAGCCCGCAGTCCAGCTCAGGACCAGGGACGAGCACATCCCAGGCGTGTCTGCACGTGGGACTGGGCGAGCCTGCCCCTCGCTGACCTGCCTGCTTACTGAGACTGACCCTCCTGCTGCTGCCAGCACCCACGGGCCATTTGGGATCACAGTCTCCTGCAAACGACGCTCATTCCTGGAGCGCTTAAGAAAAACACACAAACCTTAACTGCCGGAATTAAGAACGTAACTCACTTTGCCTTTCAGCAATTAAAAATACATTAGCGGCTTATATTCCTCTTACAGCATCGTTTTTGTGAAAAAAACTCTGAACGATGTCTTTTCTTAATGAAGGTACAATGTGGACTCTCAGTGAGCTGCACTTTGCTTAGACTGTCTTTGCAGACTTCCGAGTATTAATGCTTCCCTCTTTGCCTCTGTTTATCTGCCGTGAGCTATCAGATTTGCAGGCACTGCTTTCTGAGGTCCCACAGCTACCTGCTCCTCCGCAGTAAGGCCGGGGCCTGAGTGGATGTGATGACCAGGACCCGAACACGTGGCGGGCGGGCGTCTGAGGGCCCCAAGACTCCCCTGTCGGGCCCTGCAAGTTACCTGCCCTCAAATTACTGAGAAGGACGTGGTCACCTGGGCTTTCTCAAAGAAAGGGCTCTGTATTCAAAGCACAAACGCAGCCAGAGTTGTTGGTCCCTGAGGGTGACACCCCCCC